CACCTTAATGAACAGACCGCAAGTCGAACACTGAAGACCATGTGATGTAATCAATGTGCTAAAAGACCAGTGTGGTGGCACGTGCCTACAATCTCAGTCCTGGGTACAGGTAGGAGGATCAGTTGGAGATCATCCTTAACTACACAGTGAACTCAGATCCTTATGGACAACATAAGGCCCTGTCTCAAAAACAAACTAACCATCTAACAGAAACAAAAATACACAAGACAAGCAAAAAAAAATGTTGAAAAGAAAGAAAAAGCCAACCAGTATCATTTTATCTTTCAGACATAAAAAGTCAAAAACTTTATTATAAAACCATATTGAGAAAAAAATAATGCAGATATAAAACCAATAATGACAGATATAAAGCCATTTTATTCCTAGCAAAAGGATTAAAAGAGAACACTGTATATAACTATAGCTAAAATAAGTTGGGATACATACTACAAAAAGATATAAATTCTAACATCAATTTTCCAAAGGATCAGGCATGGTGACACATACTTGTATGCTAGTATACAGAAGACTGAGGCAGGAAAATCTTGAGTTTGAGGCCAGCCTGTGCTACATAGAGACACTGTCTCTAAATAAATCAATAAAATTAAAAGGGAGGAAAAGGGAATGTCTTAGAGTTTTATTGCTGTGAAAAGATACCGTGACCCCAGCAACTCTTATAAAGAAAAACATTTCATTGGGGCTGGCTTACTGCTCAGAGTTTAGTTCATTATCATCATGGCAGGAAGCATGGCGCACGCAGGCAGACGTGGTGCTGGAGAAGGAGCTGAGAGTTCTACATCTGGATCAGCAGGCAGCAGGAAGAGAGAGAGAGCATGACTAGGCCTGACTTGGGCATCTGAGCCCTCAAATCCCACCCCCAGTGACACACTTCCTCCAACAAGGCCACACCTCCTAATAGTTACACTCCCTGTGGGCCTATGGTGGCCATTTTGATTCAAACCACCACAGGGGATGATTAGGGAAAAAGAAGTCGAGAGTAAGAGTGTGTGAAAGAATAAAATAGAATAAAAAAGAATAAAAGAGGGTAATGGGAATGAATGTACTCAAGGTACATTACATACATGTGTGAAAATATCATGACGGTTGGCTCAGTGGGTAAAATCCCTTGTTCAGCAAACCTGACAACTGAGTTTCATCTCTGGAACCCATAGTGGAAGAAGAGAATGAATTCCTAAAAGTTGTTCTCTGAACTCCACAGGCCCACTATGGCATGTTCACATACACCCGCACACACACTTTAAAAAAATTTTTAGCTGGGCAGTGGCAGTACACACCTTTATTCTGAGCACTTGGGAGACAGAGGCAGGTGGATCTCTGTGAGTTCCAGGCCAGCCTGGTCTACAGAGTGAGTCCCAGGACGCTCTGAGCTGTTACACAGAGAAACCCTGTCTCAAAAACACAAAACAAATTTTAAAAGTTTATCTTTATGTGTATGGTGTGTTGCTTGCATGTACGTATGTATGTGCACCATGTGCATGCCGGGTGCTTATATAGGTCAGAAGAAGAGATCACATGCACTGGAACTGGAGTTACAGATGGTTGTGAGCCATCGTATGGGTGCTAGGAATTGAACCCGGATTCTCTGGAGGAATAGCCAGTGCTCTTAATTGCTGAGCCATCTCTCCAGCCCCAATAACAATTTTTTAAAAGGGAAATGTCATAATGAAACTTATTATTTTGTACAATTAGCATATGCTAAAATGGTATGTGAAAGTATAGAGTTGTAAGCAAAGATAAATTGTTTTGAGACTGAAATAGGGTGTTATAAGATTTATACTCAGTAATTACAAAGCAAAGATCTTTAGAACTTCAAAACAAAAATAGAAAGGAGGGTTGTGGTTTCTGCTGGGTGGCAGAGCACTCGCTTACCATGACAAAATTCTGGGCTCAATCTCCAGTATGTGTGGGAGGGGTAGGGGAGGTTGGTGAGAAAAGCCAGGAAGGATTTTAAGTTCATCCATACAGAAAACCATCAAACCATAAAGGAAGGGAGAAGCCAAGTGTCTAAAAAATAACCAGACAAAAGTGACAGCCGTAAAGTTTATTTTATGAATTTTTATTTTGGTCGTCTGTGAGGGTGTGCACAGACCACGGTGTGCATGTAGAGGTCAGAGGGCATCTTCAGATCTTGGTCCTTCTCTTTCAATGTGCTTGAGGCAGCATCTCTCTTGGTTGCCACTCTGGTCGTCGAGCTTCCAGAGGATTCTCCTGCTCCCATCTCCCATCTTGTCCTAGGAATGCTGAGGTATGGACATCACCACATGCCGCCTTCACAGGTTGTCAGGTTTGTGTTCAACCTGCTGAGCCATCCTGCCTACCACCCTGTCTCAAAGGGATAAAGCAGGACACTGGACATCTTCCTTTGGCCTTCATGCACATGGGCATGTACACACACACACACACACACACACACACACACACACACACACACAACATGACAAACTAAAACAGAAACATAACATAGCAAAATTTATGAGCTACAGAAAAAGCAGTTCTTATACATGCTCAGCACCTTAAACAGATGTCAACTAAAGCAAACATCACTCCAGCCAGGCAGTGGTGGCACATGCCTTTAATCCCAGCACTCGGGAGGCAGAGCCAGGTGGGTCTCTGTGAGTTCAAGGCCAGCCTGGGCTACAGAGCGAGATCCAGGACAGGCACCAAAACTCCACAGAGAAACCCTGTCTCAAAAAAGAAAAAAAAGAAAGAAACATCACTCCTCAAGGAACTAGAAAAAAGAACTAAGACAGATAGAAATTAGAAAAATATAAGTGAAATCACGAGTTGCTGTGTGTGTGTGTGTGTGTGTGTGTGTGTGTGTGTGTGTGTGTGTAAGTGTGCAAGTGTACCAACAGACATGGAAGGCCATGGCACACTTGTGGAGGTCAGAGGACAGCTTCGTGGTGCCTGCTCTCTTTCACTTTACATGGGTTCTGGGACTTGAACTCAGGTCTCCAGGCTGGTGTGGTAAGCACCTTTACCCACTGCACTATCTTCTGGATTCAGGAGGTGTTTTTTGAAAGCTGAACACGATGACACATTCTTGATGCTGAAGTGGGATGACCATGAGTTCGGGGCCAGCGTGTGCCATGTAAAGATATCCTGTCACCAACAAGTTAGATGACCTGTGAGAAATGCATACACTCCTACCAAGACTGACTCGGGAAGACATAGAAAACTCCGAACTGAGGCTGTAGTTCAGTAGCAGAGGTGTCAGCAGTGGGAGAGGGAGAAGAAGAGGGAAAATTGAAACAGACCAATAATCAATAAGGAAACTGAATCAGTAATAGTCCTTTATAGGTCTGGAATACAGTGCAGTGCAGCAGAGTGCTTGCTGAGCATGTATAGGGTAATGAATTGAGTCTATAGTCACACACACACACACACACACACACACACACCTACCAAGGAAAGTTCAAGACTTAATAGCTTCACTGCTGAAGTGACCAAGACAATTCTTCTCACTCTTAAAAAAAAATCTAATTGAAGTGCAGCCCTCTCTTGACAAGACTAGTATCAATGACACCAGATCCAAACAAGGGCCCTGCAAGAGGATGGCAGCCCATTTTCTTCTTTTCAAGACAGTGTCTCACTGTGTGTCCCTCACTTGCTATGGAGACATCAGGCTGGCCTTGAACTCAGAGATCAACTTAGAGTCAAGTGTTTCAGTTAAAATTAAATTCTAAGCACAAATAGACATAAGTTCTCCTGCTGCTTTAGGAAAAGTATTCCCAAGTATTTCTTCAGAAGGACACACATGAGTAGGAGTGTTTATCATGTCCAGGGACATCAGTTAGGAAATGCCTCTACGCCACCCGGTCACCAGAGAAGCTGTTGGACTTGCCCATCTTGGCCCGTAATACCCCAGGCCAAACAAGACCAATCCCTTCCCCTAACCCTGAAACTTCTGACAAGCGAGCTAGGACAAGAGCTGGTACCCACAAACACGTAGTCTTAAGATTTTCACTTTTCCTTCCCCCGACCTGCGATTGCTAGGATATTAGGCTCATACCTCATTTTCTTTCAGAGCCCGACTCGCCAGCTCCTCCCATCCCCCTCTTCAAGAATGTTACAAGAGTTAGTGGGTGGCTAGCAAGACCCTCTCCGACAAACAGCCCTTCCAGAGAAATAATTGCTCACATACCAAGGGCTGCCAACATGAGCTGCTCCCCAGTAGTTCAGTAACCTTAATGAAGCTGGAGCAACGCCCTCCGCAACACAGATTCCAGCTAGAAGAAAGGAGCTACAGACTGCGGAAAAGTCCGAGTTGAAAGGCAAACACCACAGGCTCCCCCGGGCGGGGAGCAGGCAAGGATTTCTAAATACAGAGCTCAATTGTAAGAGCACCTATTCCTCACTAGATCATCGTTGGCTCTGTCAAAAATAGAACCTTCCACGTCTTGATCCATTCAGAATAAGCCACAGCAGGCGCAGCTTTGCTTACACAAGGCAACCAGGTCGGAAAGGCCACACAGGGAAACGGAACAGGCAGCCAGCAGGTTTCTTAGGGATTATGCTGCTGCAGCTTTTATCCCCTTCCCAGCTATTCCGGTGCCAAGAAAACGGCGGGGAGGGCGAGAGCTCTGCTCTCAAAGAGCTCGTCTGTTATCAGCAGTCCCCCAGCTACAACTCCCTCTACTGCCCAGCATTTCCTTGACTAGAGCCGGCTGAAGGAATTTCAAACTCAAGCAGGTTCACAGTGCTAAAGCAGTCGGCTACTGAAAATATTACCAGGAGGGCACAAACTTAGAAAGGAGCACTGGAGCTGAAAAGCAGCTCCCGGGGGCTGGCTTCCACAGCACAGTTTAATGAAGTCTCCGTCTCCACAGCACTGGGACTGTAAAAAACTTTATTATCAAGTATTTACTTAGTGTGCATTGTGCATGCTTGCGGGAGCAGAAGCTGGACACACACGCAGAGGTCAGAGGACAGCTCGCCAGGACCACTCTTCCTCTCCACCAAGTGTCAGGCTTGGCGGCGGTGGTGGCAGCGGCGGCGGATGCCTTTACCCACTGAGCCATCTTGCCAGCCCAGGAACTGAACTTTCTGGTTGACTTTTGCCCTCTTTAATATCACCTTTAGCAGGATTTGAAATGGGCTCTGGGGCTGGGTTGGGAGTGCAGCTCAGTGGTAGCATGCTTTGATCCCCCGCGCCACAGAACAGAAACAAACACAGGGCAGGCCGTGCTCATCTCGCGGTACCCACTTAGAACGTAATACTAAACTTGTTTGGCTGAGCGAGGCGGTACATGTCATAATCCCAGCTCTTAGGAGGCCGAGGCAGGAGGACTGGGGCTAAAGCCTCCTGGGCCACACAAGAGGAACCAACCTGAGGTCCGTATGAAGAATCCCCGCTTGCTCACCTATCGCTTTCAGTGTGTTTGCTCAACTGCCTAGAAAACCTGCGGCTACCACGGTTCCGCCACCCAGAAAACTTCCAAGCGTGAGGGCTAGAAGCTGCCTGTGTGAGCTTGTGAGAGGAGGATCAGAATAAGGAAAACTAGACTGTGTTCTAAAGACAGAGGGGGAGAGCTTTGGAGTCCACGACGGAAGTGAAAGAATAGTTGTGTACAGTGCAGACAGAAAGAGGAGCAATGCCCACGCCAAACCAGGGGATGGCTCAGAGGTATTTCCCGCATACCTGCCCACGCCGTGGACGGAAAGAACCAACTCCCGACAAGTTGTCCTCTGATGGAATGAGCATACCCACACACAACACTTCATCCACGGAACGGCAAAACAAACAAGGACGAAAACATGTCTGCTGGGGTGGGAAAGGCCAACAGGTTAAGCTGCACGGCTCTCTGACTGGGGAGGGGAAGTAGCTGCTATCGCAGTGAGCGAGGAGAGATGTGCCGTCCTCGCTGCAGGACAAGCCCACAGCGCCCAGAGCACAAACAAGTTGCAGAACATGGTAGACCAGCCTAATTTCTCTGGCATATGAGCAGCTATGGACTAAAGGCAACAGCCGGCACCATCTTGTCCTGATCTGAGACCGCCGAGGCCAAGCTTTCAGGACATTTGTGCGCATGCACCATAGCGTCGTGAGGCAGAAGACAACTTACCGGAGTCGGTTCCCTTCTTCCATGGGATTGAACTCAGGGCGTGAGGGTTGGCGGTGAGCACCCTCTCCTGCTGACATCTCCCCAGTCCCTTTTATTACTTTCAACCTTTTTTACTTTTACATTTTTGTTGTTGTTGTTCTTTGGGTTTTTGTCTAATTTTGCTTGTATGTTTTCTTATTGGAAGTACTTTTTTCTTAGCTCCCTTCCCTTGCTCGGCTACATTTTGACTATCTTATTTAAAAACAAACAAAAAAAAATGCAAGTTTTTCTTTTCTTTTTTTTTAGTGCTGAAACCTGGGAAAGTTTTCATTTTCTTATTCCTTTTCTCAGACTGATCTGAATTTTGCTCAGCTTTTCCATTGGGAAACCTAATGCTTTTCTTTTCTTTTTTTTAGATATTTATTTATTATGTTGTTTATTTATTATGTTTATAGTATTCTGCCTGCATGTATCCCTGCATGCCAGAAGAGGGCACCAGATATCATTACAGATGGTTGTGAGCCACCGTGTGGTTGCTGGGATTTGAACTCAGGACCTCTGGAAGAACAGCCAGTGCTCTTAACCTCTGAGCCATCTCTCCAGCCCCGAATTGTTTTTCTTATTCTCATCTCTTGCTCTTTTCCCTCCCCAACACTTCCTTCACTGCATTTCAGAGCATTTACTCACTCTGCTTCAATTCATTCATTCCCCTGCCTGCTTCCCTTAGTTCATTCATTCCCTTCCGTTTCATTTCGTTCATTCCTTTCCCTGCCTGCTTCCCTTAGTTCATTCATTCCCTTCCCTGCCTTCTTCCCTTAGTTCATTCATTCCCTTCCCTGCCTGCTTTTCATTTCATTCATTCCCCTGCCTGCTTCCTTTATTTCATTCATTCCCTTCCCTGCCCACTTCCTTCATTTCATTCTTCCCCATCTCCACACTTCCTTCATTTCATTCACTCCCCATCTCCACACTTCCTTCATTTCATTCTTCCCCATCTCCACACTTTCTTCAACAGTTCTGAACTTCATAGTCCATCCCGCAGTCATTTTATCATTTTGTTTTATGGTCCCTGGTGATGTAATAAGGAGCTTAACTGATCTGATTGTATTTTAGATCTTGTATGATTTGATGCTGCTGTAGTTACACAAGCGTTTTCTTCCCACTGAGTGGTACTGAGGGCTGAGCCTTCGGAAGTAGTCCCCTTAAGATCTGCAATGGAACTGAAGACATTCCCAAACAAAACCACACAACAGTTAGCCAGACCCAGGCTCCTCATCTCAGTGAACTTCTCTAGACGGCTCCAACAGCTGTTCTGAAGCCCCGGAGTTTCACACTCAATTCTATACTTTCACTCTCAGTTACTTTTATGAATTTGACCACCACACACAAAATCCCCAAACCCACAGCAGTTCAGACTAAACTATTATCTGTCTGTCCTCTCACCAATTATCAGTTCTTGTTCTCCTTTTACACGTTAGACTGTAGCCACGTGCACATTTGTATACAGACATACATGTATATAGTATAGGCACATACAAGGGAGACCATGTTTTTTCCTGAGGTTGTGTGACCTTATACATTCTAGGTCTACTGAATACATTTTGTGACATTTTTAGAGCTGAACAGTATTCCATTTTATGTATGTTCCAGTCATCTGTTGATGGGCAATGTTATTTATTAACTGGCACTGTTTACTGTGTGAGAGAAGCCATGAGGCACAACAAAACCCACTAAAAGGGTTTATAAAGGGGAGCTGGAGAGATGTCTCAGTGGTTAAGAGCGCCGACTGCTCTTCCAAAGGTCCTGAGTTCAATTCCCAGCAACCACATGATGGCTCACAGCCATCTGTAATGAGATCTGGTGCCCTCTTCTGGCCTGCATGGATACATGCAGGCAGAATACTGTATACATAATAAATAAATCTTTAAAAAAAGAAGTGTTTATTAAGGGAAGGGAATAGAAAGGGTGTGCACAGGCCCATGGAATTACTGTGTGGGAGGAGAGAAGGAGTAAGTGGAACCAGATTGTATAGGTCCCTCCCATCCCCTCACGCTCACCTAGTTAATGCCACACATGCACCTAGATTACGTGCAAAAGATAATGAAATAGGTAAAATGCCAGGACGAAGATTTCCAGAGTTCAGTGGTAAAAATGACCAATGACTTGAAAAATGAGCAAGGAAATTCACATTCAGGGGTGGGACAAAACACAAAAACAAGCAGGTATGCCGATAATGAAAAACTTCATTGAACCAAATATAAAACAGTAGAAAGCATTGCCAATTAACTCAACTGAACAGAAGAATGTCAGGGTGGAGGATGTGATGGCTAATGCGCTGTCAACCTAATGGAATTTGGAATCAACATAGAAACAAGCCTCCGGCAGGTCTATGACACACTTTAGGTCAGTACTGGACACGCCTGTGAGGGGTTATCTTCACTGGGTTAACTGAGGTAGAAGGTTCTCCCTAAGGTGATCCCATTCCCTGGGCTAGGGTCCTGGAAAAGGAAATCAACTGAGCACCAGCATCCATCATTTTCTTTTCCTGACTGCAGACACAATGCGACGAGCTGCTTCCAGCTTAGTGGGTAAAGACGCTTGCTCCTAACCCTGATGACCAGAGTTGGATACTTGGGATCCATATTATGGGAGGAGAAGATTCCCACAAAGTTGTCCTTTGCCTTCCACATGTATGACATGGCATACACACACATGTACACCAAGACCTTAATGTAAGAGGACCTGAAATCCTCAAATTGCTAGAGGAAAATATAAAAATGTCAAGATAGAAGCTTTCTGAGAAAGAGTCCATGGTACAGGACATGAGTTCCAAGAGCTGGCAAACAGCTGATAATCTATATGATAGGGGAAAAAAATCTTTGCCAAAGTGATGAGTCATACAAGGATGTATAGAATATATGAAGAACTTTTTAAAAAAATGAGTAAGTGAACTGCACAGTTCTCAAAATAGTTCTTGAGGAAGTGAGCATGCTTAGCCACCAGAAATGCAAACAGAGTGATTTGAGGAGCTAGGAAGCCGGCTCAGGGGCAAGAAGCTTGCCACACAAGCATGAGAGCCTGAGTCTGATCCTGAGACTGACTAACGCCATGGAAGCAGTTTGTAATCTCAGTGCTCGAGACTGGACATGGAGACAAGGGACTCCCTAAAGCTCATGGGCCAGCTAGTTTGTCAGGGAGTGTGGACAACAGAAGACCCGATCTCAAAACAGGTGGAAGATGAGGACCAATGAGAGGTTGTCCTACAACTTCCGCAAGTACAGGGCATGCATGCACCAATACTCTCACACACATCATATAATCCACACCAGATTCCATCTCACCCCACTCAAAACAGCTATCAAGGAAAAAAAATACTAACAGCTGGAGAAATGGCTGAGCAGTTAAGAGCACTGTTCCAGAGGACCTGGGTTCACCCCAGCATCCACGTGGCAGCTCACAACTGTCTGTAACTCCAGTTCCAGGGGACCTGACGTCCTCACAGACACACATGCAGGCCAAACACCAATGCACAAGAAATACAATGGTAGCAACCCCCCACCCCACCCATTATGTAGACTATTGCCCATTTGCCAGTTCTTGGGATTCTTTTCAGAAAGCTTCTATCTTGAAGTTTTTATATTTTCCTCTAGCAGTTTGAGGATTTCAGGTCTTACATTAAGGTCTTGGGGTACACGTGCATGTGTGCCATGTCATACACGTGAAGGTGAGGGTGTTGGAAAGAGAAGCCTGCCTTTTATACTGCTGGCTGTATAGGCTATGAACTTGTACAGCCACTACTGACCTCAGCACGGAGGCTTCTCTAAACACTAGACAAAAACGTCATACGGTTCATACGTGCATGTATGTCAGGCGTACATTCCCAAAGCACTGACTCAAAATACCAGAGATATTTGCACTTCCATGAGTATTGTTGCACTTTTCACAAGCTAGCTTAATGTCCCTTAACATGAATGGACTGAGAGCATGGGATATATGTCAAATTTTATTCATCTGTAAAAATAAAATCATGACATTTGCAAGTAAACGGATAAAATGGGAAATTGTTATTTTAAGTGAAATAAGGAGACTCAAAAAAATAAGTAGGAAGGAGGAAACCTGAAGGGAGGCTGACGATGTGGGGAAGGAAGGGAACCAGGCAGACAGGGGTAGCTGACAGAGAGAGGACTGACCAGAACAATATGACGGATGGATGAAAATGCTACAATGAAATGCATCAGTTTGAATGCTAACTAAAAAAGAAAAAAGAAATCCTACTTAGGAAGATTATTCATTTACAGAAAGACCCAGGTACATGGGCTGGGGATTTGGCTCAGTGGCAGAGTACTTGCCTACCATGCATGAGGCCCTAGGTTCCATCCCCCAAATTACAATTATTGACTGTTATTTCTTTAGCCAGGAGGTGGTGGTGGTGCATGCCTTCAATGCCAGCACTCAGAAGACAGAGGCAGGGTCTGTTGGATTTGACCCACCCATGCAGACAGCACTCTAATGGAGAGTTTTATTGGGGGGAAGGGAAAGAAGGCAGCTGAGGACGAGGACAGAAAGAGACAGGAAAGAGGGCAGAAAGGAGATGCGGACATTACCTTGTGGGAATGGAGAAAGTGGCTAGAGCTCTAGCCCTTTTATGAGGATGTAGCACATGCGCAGAGAGACTATGTAGCAGAGCTCATGTTGTCAGGACCCTGAGCAGGCCAAGGTATTGCCTGGATATTGGCCAGGTCCCCAAGGGGCAGGTCTAAATGCTAACATGGTCTACAGAGAGAGTTCCAGGGCAGCCAGGGCTACACAGAGAAACTGTCTTGATGCTACCCTCCCCCTCCAAAGACCTGGGCATGTAGTTCAGTTGGTAGAGTGCTGGCCTAACACACAGAGGGACCAGGGTTCAATCCCCAGCTCCACAACCAGGTATGCTAAGTGCAGGCTGGCAATCCCAGCACTTGGGAGGTGTAGGCAGGATTCAATGTGCCCTCCTCTACATATTGAGTTTGAGGCCAGACTGGACTATAAGACCCTATTCCAAACGAAACAAACTTGGAGCCAGTCACATTGGTGCCCGGCTATAGTCCCAGTACTTGTCAACTGAAGCAGGAAGATCACGAATCTGGGGTCGGCCTAGATTACCTAAAGAGAAAAAGAGCCAGTGGGTGGGTGGGAAAATAGCTCAGTGGCTGGGAGCACAGGCTACTGCTCAATCCTGAGGATGCAAGGATCATAGGGGATCCAACCACCCACACAGGGAGCTCACAAAAGCTGGCAACTCCAGCTCCAAGGGATCTGATGCCCTCTTCTGGTTCCATGGCATCAGCACAGTCTCAGAGACATACACATGATGCATGCACACACAGAAAAAGAGGGAGGTCAACAAGACGGCTTGCTGGGCAAAGGGTGTCAGCAAGCCTCACAACCCGAGCTGGACATCCAAGCCCCATGGCTAACGAGAGAATCTATTCATCCAAGTTGTCCTCTCATCTACATACATGGCTACGGCACTGGTGCCTGCACTCACGCAAACCAAATTAAGCCAGATTACCAGTCTTCAATCCCCGATCCCACATGGAGAATTGCCTCTCAATAACTGTCCTGACCTCAACATTTGAGCAGTGGCATGAGCATGTACATCCTCATCAAATTAAACAGTGTGAAAAAAGAAAACAACAAACCTTGGGGGGGGGGCACAAAAATAGGTTGTTTGGCATGTGTTTGTATGTGTGCCCCAAGACTGCCAACAGCTGTCTTCCTCAATCAGGCCCCAACCTTACACTTTGGGGAAGTAGTTCTCATTGAACACACAGCTTGCAGATGCTGCTCCCAGGTTCCACTTCCACCTCCTAAGCACTGATA